CTTTTCGCTTGTGCTTTGCATGTATGTCGGCCTTCGTGCCGTTGTGGATGTCGGCGTTCGTGTCGTTGTGGATGTCGGCATTCGTGTCATTGTTTCTTGCAGGTTTTGGAAACCTCTCCGTGCAGGGGAGGTGCTGCCGAAATTTTTAATTGAGTCTAATCTTTTTGTATTCCTAGATTACTAGATGCAATCTCTAAGTTTCAAAACTATTTTCCCGGATTACTCACACATGCAATCTCTGCTCCTTTGTGCAGCCTCCGTCCGCGGGTTCCAATCATCCCGGTAGTATGTCACCGGCTGATCCCGCCTTTCCTTCACCACCGTTTCATAGGCTACCTTGATCAGGACTAGTGCTAGGTGATGTGGTTGGACTTTATTGTAATATTTGTGGTTTATGATTTTGACTTGTGCTTGAATTTCATGAACTTGTCGTAATAAACATGTGAATAATGATGAACATGTGACTTGTCGTTGTAATATATTGTGATTTGTAGTTCACAATTATGGTTGTGATATATTGTGAGAAAATGGGTTATGTGTGATATATATATGAAATGCTTGTGTCGATGGAATGCAAAAAACAAAAAAGAATAAATTTCTGCCTCTTTGCCGAGGGCAATGACCAAGGCCCTCGGCAAAGAAGGGTCCTTTGCTGAGGGCCATCTCATTGCCCTCGGCAAAGATTTTTTTAAAAAAATAAAATTTCTGCAACATTTCTTTGCCAAGGGCCATGGTTGGGGGCCTTCGGCAAAGACTTTTAAAAAAAAAATTCTTTGCCGAGGGTCTGCGGGGAAGCCATCGGCAAAGATTTTTTTTTAAAAAAGAATAATTATTTGCCGAGGGCTGTCCCATTGCCCTCGGCAAAGATTTTTTGGAAAAAATCTGCACATTTCTTTGCCGAGGGCCATGGTTGGAGGCCCTCGACAAAGATTTTTCAAAAAAAAAAATTCTTTGCCGAGGGCCCCCGGAGACGACCCTCGGCAAAGACTCCGTCCCAGGCGCCAGCGCCGTGACGGCTGCTTTTCTTTGCCGAGTGCCGTTCTAGCCCTCGGCAAAGGCTTTGCCGAGTGCCCGATAAAAGGCCCTCGGCAAAGACTCTCTTCGCCGACTCAAAATTCCCCGAGAGCTCTTTGCCGAGGATTAATGGGCCTTTGCCGAGGCCCTCGGCAAAGAGGCCGTCTCCGGTAGTGCACCTTTATTAATCTGGTGTCTGCCTCCTAAGATCCTATTTTAATAGCAAGGGTCAGTCACAACTCTAACCTCTTAAAACATGTGCCAATGATAAGGTTCCTGTTTCAGGAAGCATATTTTCCTCGTAATGCAATTAATGAGTAATGCCTACAGATAAAAACGAATATCTCAATCCCATACGAGGCTTCGATTTCAAATTTGATACAATTTTTGAACAAACGTTTCAATGAGAGTTCCAAATCTATACGTGATGTTGACCTCAAGTTCAATTTTTACAACGGTAAGTTCAATCCTGATCCAGGCGGTTACCTCGAGTACACATCACATGGCAGAGGTGACCCATAGGAATGTGAATATGATGACGGACCTGACCAGATCTTGGCATCCCTATAGGTCTATCCTAGCTTGGAAGCATATGCATCGTCTGGTCCATTGATTGAGACAAAGCCCAAATGCAGTACTAGCAGAATAACACATATATAGCCACACCTCACTAAGAAAAAAGGAGAAAATTTCTTATTTGACAACAACAACAACAAAAAAAACTCTCTTCCCAATTTAGCACCTAAATTTCTTATTTGACCCATGCATCGACCCATACCAAACAACTAGATTACTGCCACGGAAACAAACCCAGGACACTTGGCGCCCTAGGTTGTTGGGGGAAGGCGCCCCTGGCTTGATCCCCCGCCCGTCTCCTGAGCTTCGCTTCGGGCCTATTAACCATTTGCGTCGCGGCGAAGGTTTCTCTCCCCCGTCTCTTCTTTTCAGGTACTGTCAGCGGGACTTGGCTCGAGGGCCGCGAGTCGTAGGGAAGGGCACAAGACCGGCAACGAAAGAAAGAACCTCTGATTGATGTGGCGAGGGTTCGCCGGGAGCCGCGGGTCCAGCCCGTCGATGGGCCGCTGGCAGTCCCCATCTGCCCAGTTAGGGTTAGGAGTGGTTGGCTAGGGGTATGGAGAATTACCTCATTGCCCCCAGCCGTTGTACTGGCGTTGCTGGATAGACGCCAACCCTTTTGTAATTTCGACATAGCCCCGGGTATGGCCTATAAATACCCGGAGGCACTATTGTTCTAAACAGGCCCTTTTGGCAATTCAATAGTCAATTAATCCACATTTATTTTTGGCTCTCCCTACGGGGTAACCTCACTATTCACATTTGTGTTCATCCCCTATCCTGTGGGAAACCCTCGGTCTCCCCCCCGCCTAGTCCTTAGCGAGGGCGGGAGACCAGGAATGACCCACATAGGTAGGGGAGCATCATGCGTGATTGCCACTCTTCGATGGTCCTGGCTACCATTCTCGCCATCGGAGCTGGAGGCGTCGCCCCCAAAGGTGGTGGTGCGTGCTTCTCCAACGAGATCATCTTCGCTGGCAGTGCCTTCACCCTCGGCCAGGCTCTCAGCTTTAGGAGTTTGGAGGTTTGGGATGATGGATCTTGGTGCATCTAAGTCATGGAGGTTGAAGACAGAGCTAGGTTGGAAGCGTGCTAGGGTGGTGGCAGACTTGGATCTAAGTCATGAATTGGAGGTGCTAGTCATGGGGTTTGTGGTGGACCTAGATTGAATCCAAGGACCTATACCTGGGCAAGAAATTAGACTGCAAATGAGCTCCTCCGACGAAAGACAGGTGTGTAGCGGGTTCCACTACATGGTAAAATTGGAGAAACTGAGAATATGAAAATGAGCAACGGTGCCCAATGCGGAGTCGGTCTTTTCCTTGAGCTACAATAGATGGGACGACACCGTTTCTCCATGAAGAAACGACTTATTCATTTCTCCATTTCTCTCCCCAATAAATCTCATGCCATATCAGCTAAGTGTCTACAAGGCAGAGTATTAAGACACGTAGAAACCATCCTAGGTAGGGATGAAAACGGATCGGATACGAACGGATATCACTGATATTATATTTGTTTTCATATTTTTGTCCGGATTCAGATTCGAATACGGATAGTGTCATACGATTGGATATCGACATCATAAATATGCGATTTGAGTATTCGGATACGGATACGGTATCGGATGTTGAATATCCGGACTCGGATACGAACAGATCTGAACCCCTTTAAACGGATTCGGTCTCGAATACGGTCGAAAAATATCCGTACCGTTTTCATCCCTAATCCTAGGTGGAGCATTGGTAGTGCCCTAAGAAATAATTGACTAGAGATCTAATGAGGATTGATTATAAGTTATCAGACTTTTCTACCAAACATTTATCTTAAAGGTGTGTTAGGTTTGATGATGAGATTGAGTGGGGGACATGGTGGTTCAAGTTTTTATAGTATATTTGGTTTGGGGGAAGGGCCGATGGAGTTGCCCATGTCAAGGGAATATTTAACTAGCTAGGTGCTAGATGAGCTTGTCCAGTGAAAAGTGACCAGACGAAGCCATTCACCTTTGCTAACCTTGATCGCCAAAACCATGGTACATCCCATCTCATCCAACTTAGTCTTCAAATTAAACCAAACCCACTCTATGTACCAACTGGTACAAGAATTAGCATATCTTATGAATAAATTAAGGCACTCCTTTATTTTTCTCTAGTTCAAAGAACTAGAGAATTATGGCCCTGTTTGGTTGGGCTTTTAGCTTTGGCTTTTGGCCCCAAAAGCTAAAAGCCCAACCAAAGGGGCTGTTTTTGGAGGGTGCTTTTTCAGAAGCAGCTGCTTTTCCGTAGTTCATTTTTGAAAGTTGGGTTGACCCTGCTTTTGGCTTTCTGCTTTTCGAAATTGGTGGAATAAAAAGCTCTTCCATAGTTGTTTCAAGAGAGATAAAGATAAAAGGTATATTTTATACTTGTTTAACCAAACAGCTTTCAGCTTTTCTACAGCTCACAGCCCACAGCAGCTTTTCCACAGCTCACAGCCCACAACAGCTTTTTTCCACAGCCACAGCTCAACCAAACATGGCCTATATATACAGTGACTTCAACACAAGACTAGGTCTTGTAACAATTGACGTCATGTCTGCTTAGGCTTTTGCATTCCAAAACTTGGCTTTTGTGGGGTGTAGAAAATCGGTTTGGTGGATTGGCTTACATGTTGCGATATACCTCAAAACAGTATGCCACATAAGACTTCTTTTGCCTCCTACTCCTGCAACTACAGCTTTCGACTTTCGTAAGTCACTTCTAAAAACAGAAGGTTAGACAAAGCTTTTGGCTTTTGTTCATAAGCCAAATTAAAGAAAAAAGTTAAAACGACTGCCAAAAGAATGCTTGGCATAGTCGAGAGCTAAATTAGTTACAGTCATTACGCTATGCCTGTGCTTACACGATACGATTCTCATCCACACATCTACGAGAGGTCCCTCAACACCTACACACACACAAAAAAGAAAGTAGTCAGCAACTGGTTCACGCTGATTAAAATGATACTCTATTCACCAAAAGCCCTTTCTAATTAGTAGTATATATATAAACATTAGGCAAAAGAGCTGGTTTTCGTGGCCATGGCAAGCTGTCTTTCCTCAAGATGAACCTAGGTTCTGTGACAGTGACTTGTGATAAACAAACTTGAGCAGTAAAAAGGAAGCAGGTACATCGATCCTGTTTGTTGTGCGTAAGAGATGCCAATGGAGCTTTCTTGTGTTTCTGTATATTTATGTCAGCAGGCAATTAAAACTTGGCCCACAATTTTTTAGTTTGTGAACGGCGCCCACACTATACGGCAGCACACTTGCATGGGGTGTATATAAGATGGCCAAGGGGGTGGCAAGAGGAGGACACCGCTCCACTCTGCTAATAAGCAACATCGTTGAGAGAGTTCAGAGTTGACACACAACTAACTGTAGGCAGTTAGGCATGGAGATTGAGAGGGAAGCTCCGGGTAACGACAAGGCGAGGAGCTGGAGAGCTAATGTAGCTCAGGAAGACTCTAAGAGCAAGCTTGACGGCGGTGATCAGCCGATGAAGGTTACTTGATTGTCTAGCTATTTCTTTCAGATCATTTCTGTGGACAAGACTAGCTAAAACAGTGGATGAGATGAGAAGATGATGATGCTCATTTCACTTGTTTCAAACCTTTCCCTTTTGTTGCCTTCTGATTCAGGAGCCTGCATGGAAAAGGTTCCTGGCTCATGTTGGGCCAGGGTTTATGGTGTCATTGGCATACTTGGATCCTGGGAACTGTTAGTACCCCTCTCTCCCTCCCTCGCCCCTGGCTCCCACTCTTTCTCTTCTCTCTTGTCTCTCTTTCCTCACAATCTTTTCCCAAACTGAAACAGTGGAAACGGATCTGCAAGCTGGAGCGAATCACCGATACGAGGTACATTTTCAATGCGTTCCAAAAGCACACAAGATTTTGTTGCTTACGTTTATGATTCTGCACTTTTTCGTTTTGCCCCCATGACCCATGTACTCTAGCTATCAAATCTTCAAGACTTTTATTCCAGAGATCTCCGATACCAAAAAAGCAGAACCAAGCTGACTTTTCAGGGCAAGAACCTAACTGAATGTTTGCCTTATTTTTTGCAATTTGCTTGGTGTCCATCTTTTGCAGCTCCTCTGGGTGATTCTCATTGGTCTCATCTTCGCACTCATCATTCAGTCACTAGCAGCTAATCTTGGAGTGGTGACAGGTAATTCAGTAATATGACTTGAAGGAAACGACACCGTGCCGTCTACGGATTCAAAAATATTACTAATTGGCACTAATGTCCAGTATTCATTTCACTATAACGCAGGGAGGCATCTTGCTGAGATATGCAAGAGTGAGTATCCAAAATTTGTGAGGATCTGCCTATGGATTCTCGCAGAGGTGGCTGTGATCGCTGCAGATATCCCTGAAGGTTAGAAGCAACATGACAAACCGGAAACATAATTAACATTTCTGGTGAAATTAAAGGGCATATTTTGACCTGGTGGTTGTACGTTAGTTTGATTTAGTTAAGCTGAACGACAAGGAGAGAATTGTTTCATAAAAAAAACGAGAGAATGAACATTAGGTACTTGTTCTATTGTTAATAAAAACTGAAGGTGTACCGAAAGTCTTTAATTTGGCTCTAATATATTTGCTAAAGTCAAGACCGTCTTAGGATAGATTGGCACGTATGAATTGTAGTAGCATACAAAATGTGTAATTAATCTTACATTATATATTGACGTACATGTTGGATTGTCTTATCATGTGAACAATAGCGGCAGCGGAGGAATTTGCAAGGACCTATTCTAATCTATCGCTTTGTCTGATACTGACATTTTGCTCTTACATTTTTGTTGCAGTTATAGGGACAGCCTTCGCTTTCAACCTGTTATTCCACATCCCCGTGTGGGTGGGGGTTCTCATCACCGGCTCCAGCACTCTCCTGCTCCTGGGCCTACAAAGATACGGGGTATTTAATTGCCGTCCAGTTATTTATTTAAAAAAAACATGTATAAAATGTGTTATTATCTACAATAATTGAGTAGCTAGTTGCTTAATCCATTTCTGCTGGAACTGGAATATGATGCATGGATGGGAACTAGGTGCGGAAGCTGGAGTTCCTGATCTCGATGCTGGTGTTCGTCATGGCGGCGTGCTTCTTCGGGGAGCTGAGCATCGTGAAGCCGCCGGCGGTGGAGGTGATCAAGGGGCTCTTCATCCCCAGTCTCAAGGGCGACGGCGCCACCGCAGACGCCATCGCCCTCCTTGGAGCTCTTGTCATGCCGTAAGCAATCCAGCATTATATTCTAGCATTCAGGCTTAATCGAGTAACTAATTCTGATTATTATTATATATCGGCCATGGCTGGCTGTGCTGCCAGGTCAATGGATTAAGAAAAAGGGAAACTGCGTCAGAGCTCCACATGCATGTATATCAGTATCAGTAGCAGTTGCCAAGAACTTTGTTTTGTTATTTCTACATAATTAACTTGCTAGCTCTGATGATGTGGACTAGAACAAATTAAAGATTAAAGTTTCAGCAAGTCAAATTAGTAAACTTAATTTGGCCTGGATGAGATGATCAGCAATTAATTTCTGCAGGCACAACCTGTTCCTGCACTCCGCTCTGGTGCTGTCTCGGAAGACGCCATCGTCGGTGAGAGGGATCAAGGACGCGTGCCGGTTCTTCCTCTACGAGAGCGGCTTCGCGCTGTTCGTGGCGCTGCTCATCAACATCGCCGTCATCTCCGTCTCCGGCACCGTCTGCTTCTCCGGCAACCTCTCGCCGGAGGAGGCCGACAAGTGCAGCGACCTCTCGCTCGACTCATCCTCCTTTCTCCTCAAGGCACGTCGTCGTCGGTCATCTTGCCATTTCATCATATATAAATATGACAAGTACTTCTGCCTGCATCCTGGTCGAATATACCAATGCGCATGCATGCATTGAATTTGTTTCTTTTGTTTTGTTTTGTTTTGTTTTTGTGTGCATCAGAACGTGCTGGGCAGGTCGAGCGCGATCGTCTACGGCGTGGCGCTGTTGGCGTCTGGGCAGAGCTCCACCATAACAGGCACCTATTCCGGCCAGTACATCATGCAGGTATCTACTAGAATATATTAGTTGCTTTCAACTTGCTGTTTGACTTGTTGGCATGTCTAAAAAGGCTGAAGATAGATCACTAGTTTATTTGTTTTGGCAGCATGCTAGCTAGCTGATACAGTAGTAACTACAAAATTAAACATGAATTCTCAGGATCATGCATATATATGAAGAAATTATGTCGAATATATATATGCTACTCCTTTTGAGTTACGGAATAACATATCTAATGACACACTGAAAGAAGTGACATCAGTCGAAATTTGCATGCTGTGTAATTTATCTAGAGTAACGACGGCGGCAGTCTGTTCTGATGTAAGATCGAAAATTAAACAAGCCAATAAGCAGCAGATGTCGTTGTCCCTTTATTATTTGCCCTTTTGTCGTCAGACAAACCAAACTAACTCTAACATTAATTCTTTACGCTTTTCAAACACCAAATCAACTATGCTAATCCTAGTAGGATTTCATTGCAAGCTTTTTTTTTAGAAAAGTAGGTTTCCCCTGCTTTTATATTAAAAGCAAACAAATATCAAGTTCAGCGTTTTAGGCACGCCAGCCTTACAAAACAGTTCTTAGTCTGACGGCGACAAACACCGCATTGTTTAACGCCACATTGGCAACTAAATCCCGCTCTAGACGTCCTGAGAACACATCAGACTCCTGTAAACTCGTTGCAGCGCTGGAACCGTAAGCCGAACACCCAATGGTGCCAACTCTGATGACGATTCCACCTGATTGTACCACATCAGCTGAGGCGGCATTGATGCTCTGCGTTCCAGTTGGATAATCACCTCCTCTATACGCACTCCAGAATCTTGCTGCATCATTGGGATCCATCTTCGTAACATCCTGGCGATCTTGAAGAGAACGTCCTTTAGGCCCATCCACTTGTGCCCCTGAAAACATAATTCATTCCGTAATTTCCAAAACGACCATAAGACAACCGCTGAAATAGTATTTGTAACCTTATGTTTCTTATTGGCTAGCCAAAAACGAGCAACTGATTCAAAATCATGACCAATTCTTAAACCAAGGAGCTCAGAAATATAGTCCAAAACCAACTTAGCCACACAGTACTCAAAAAATAAGTGGTTGATAGATTCTTTCTCACTACACAGAAGACAAGTATTATCATTAACAGTTCTCCTTTTTGCCAGATTATCCCGAGTTAAGAGCTTGTTTTTAAACAGGAGCCACAAGAAAAACTGCACTCTTGGAGGGATAGGTAACTTCCAAATTGAACTAACAAACATGGGGAAAATTCCCCTAAAATTGACAACAGCGTACAAGGATTGTACTGAATATTTTCCAGAAGAACTATATGCCCAGATAATTTGATCCTCCTCTTCAGAGAGGGTGACCTCACTCATCAAATTCACCAACTCCCACCAAAGGTTCATACCTTGTTCAGACACTGTCCTTCTAAAAGTAAGCATCAAATTTTCACCATCCCAGACCTCTCTCACAGACTTCCCCTGTTGTTCATTAATGACATACAGGGGCCAGTATAAAATAGCTAAACTTGTATTTCCCAACCACTGATCCTCCCAAAATCTCACCTTATCACCCTTTCCCAGATTCCATTGTATACCGATTTAAGCAGCCTGCATAGCCCACACCACTCATTTCCAAAAAGGAGAGGTTCCTACAGAAGAACAGCACAGGACATTTGATTTCACTGCAAGCTTTTGATGATATAATGTTTGCCTTGTTGCTTTCTGCTTCTTACGCACGTACCGTATATACATACGCACGCACAGGGTTTTCTGGACATCAGGATGAAGAAGTGGCTGAGGAACCTGATGACCCGGTGCATCGCCATTGCGCCGAGCCTAGTCGTCTCCATCATCGGTGGCTCCAGTGGCGCCGGCCGTCTCATCATCATCGCTTCGGTGCGTCATATCCCATATATAGATCGCCAGTGGCCTGTCCACTATACTATATATACCAGTATCAACTATAGCTTACCATGCATATGCACATGCTCAATTTTAGCTAGCTGTGGGTTAAAAGGCAACCTTTTATAGATCACCTAAACAAAAGGGCACCAACTAACATCGACCTATACTTACATGATCTAAAAGTGCACAATATAATTTATACTCCCTTCTGGACCTTCTATATACTACTAGTATATAGTAAAAAAAGAAAGGGAACCATGCATATCAAGTAGCTTAGCATGCACATGGTTAATTTTATCTGTGGATTAAAAGGCAGCCTTTTATCGATCACCTAATTAACAAAATGGCGGCACCATCATCTACCTATACTTATATGATCTAGCTATCTAAAAGTGCACGATAATTTATACTCCCTTCTGGACCTTCTATATACGAGTAGTACATAAAGCAAGGTAACCAAGGATTGGTAATTTTGGCTTGTACCACGCAAGTAATTTCCAGTGTATGCAGATGATCCTGTCTTTTGAGCTGCCGTTCGCCCTCATCCCACTTCTCAAGTTCAGCAGCAGCAGCAGCAAGATGGGACCCCACAAGAACTCCATCTATGTAAGCACCCACTCACTCACTGCATCACAGAAAACTACGGTGTCCGTCCTTGTTGTTCGCTTGCTCCGATCCATCAATTGCAAGCATGCATTGTCTGCACATTTTGTAGCCTTTTGAGATGCCCGACACATTACCATGCATGACATAGCATTGCCTTGCACAAAATAATGCATCTTCTCCTCATCATCGCATATCCGTGCATGCATCCCATGTGTTCTGCTTCATCAATAGTAATATACGGGCTCATCTTCACATGCCTGCATCCAGGCTGACTGGCTGAACAAAACAAACTGGCTGCATGAACCAGATCTATCTAGCAAATACATATATGCAAATATAATATCTACTATATATATATATATATATATATATATATTCATTTAATTTAATTTGCAGATTATCGTGTTCTCGTGGTTGCTGGGGCTGATGATCATCGGCATCAATATGTACTTCCTGAGCACCAGCTTCGTCGGCTGGCTCATCCACAACTCCCTCCCCAAGTATGCCAACGTGCTCGTCGGCCTCATCGTCTTCCCCCTCATGCTCATCTACGTTGTCGCCGTCATCTACCTCACCTTAAGAAAGGACACCGTCGTCACCTTCGTCGCCGACTCCACCCAGCTGGTTGACGCCGAGAAGGCCAAGGCGGCCGGTGAGGAGGAGGACGACCTACCAGTGCCGTTCCGGCAGGACCTGGCGGACATCCCACTGCCGGAGTAGAGCTAGCTACAAAGACATATATATATATATATATATATATATATATATATATATATATATATATATATATATATATACACACTATATATTCATATAAAATAACTTATTCTATAGCCACTTTAGTTACGATAATTACTATGCTAATTTACGAGATTATAGTAACTCCTTACTAAGTGGTTTACTATAACGTTACGGTAAATATCCCCATATGCTATAGTAAACCAACTATCGTAAATATGTATTGACATTATCGTAAATTAGTATATAAAATTATCGTAAATAGAGGTGGCTACAGAATAACTTATTTTGTAGCTGGCTACTGAATATACTCTCCCTATATATATATATATATATATATATATATATATATATATATATATATATATATATATATATATATATATATATATATATATATATATATATATATATATATATATATATATACTGTTCGCTTGATCGTTTCTGTGGCTTATAAGCCAGCTGATGTTGTTTTGTTGTGAGAGAAAAATATTGTATCATGATTGATAAGCATGGCTAATACGATCAAGCGAACAGGGTGATATACATATGTGCTTCATCTTTGGACGATTCTGTGATTGCTTGTAGATTGCTGGTGGGTACAAGTAGCATTTTGCAATCGGATGCATGTACGGTCCTCAGATCAGTTTTTATGTATTTAAGTTTCATGAAGGGTACGGCTTAGATGTTAAGAGTGAGTAGTATATCGCTGAATGTAAATTGTTAATGGGTAAATTCCTTTCCAGTAATTTAAATTTTACCGTTAATCTTGGTGGCAACCTTTTTCTCACACGTCACAGTCACGGTGGTGTCCAAGCACTCAAACGGTGTTTGCTTCACGCACTGGTTGTCTGGTTACGTACGTGAACACGGTTTGGGAAATTGATTGTAGGGAAGTAGCAGTGGAATTAGTAAACAGATGTATATATAAGGCTGCTGTTGGCAGTGACGTGACCACGCGCCCTTGTGTTCATTTGCTTGACGTGGAATAAAATGTGTACTCCCTTAGTCCTAAAAGATGCAATTCTCACTTTCACGGTGTTATCCTCGTCTGAAGTCTTGGATACCTCCATATTAACCTTAGATTCTAGGAATATTCCTATCCTATCAGGGGCATCACGGTCCATTCTGCTACATATGAGTCAAAGTCATATTTGACTGCCTGGAAATGCTCCCCCGCCCGCTACATACTTTGTCATGCTAGGTTCAGCATGCAAATACTTTGTTTATATGCTATTAAACATCACCAAATGGTCGACTTCAAGTTAGGTTTGAATGATGATCAACACAAAAGGGGAGGTTCTTATTAACTCTGTTTCGGGTTCTGTGTGAGAAACCGGGTAATCTAGTTTTGGCTTATTCTATCATCATTTCTTTAGCTGTAGAAAATGTCTATTTGCCCCAAACCCACACACCCCTCTAAACATCTAGGTCCTTTCACTAAGGACTGCCAACATTGTGCACATGATAATTACTCAACATATTAGGAACATAAATTCATTAAGTTGGTTTTGACTACATATTTTCTTAGGAACAAAGATAGAAGACTAACCTCTATTATTTGAAATTGGGTGCGAAGTTTCACACTATAAATGATTTCTCACAATGTAAGTGGGAACACTTCCAAACCCTAAGCATTCGCAACAAATGGTGTCTCCTTGTTGCACAAGCCCACACCGCTGCCCCTTATAATCATCATCCATAACCATGTGTGGCCCCTTTTCCTAATAGTGCTCATCCATGTTTGCATGTGCATCATCTTCCCTCCTTTTTGTTGATGACCCTAGGCCATCCCTCCTCTTTGTCATAAATCCCTTCCTCGACCATGTGTCATGGCCCCTCTGCCTCCTCGTCAATGCCTTTCCACAACCATGTGCGCACCATTGTCCATCGTCTGTTTCCCTGACCCCAACCACAAGCATCGCCAACCCTTGTCCTTATCATTGATCCTCTAGCTACCAGGTATCATTGTCATTGTCCCCATCCTCAATCAAAGGACATGCTACCATCCCTCATCTTTGTTGTATCCTTCCCCAACTCAATGCCACAACCCTTCATCCTTATCACCAATCCACCCTAACCTAGACTCCTCCCCACGGGTGATGAAGTTTCCCACTTCGTCCTCCCTAGATGAATGGATGAATGCTTGGATGGATTAGGGTTTAGATAATACATGGATGAATGAAATGTACTTAGAAACTTGTAGTTTTTTGAGATATATATTTCTTAATGTAATGTCCCAATGTGTTTAAGAATATTACTTTGCTTATATATATTGTCGTCTTAGAATTTTGTCGGTTGCAATAATATCCAAGTGTAACACCCAAAATTCCAAATAAATGTAATTAGCTTTGTTTGGGTACATGTCTGAATTTGTTAGAAAAAAATGTTTTTCTTGAATTAAAAACGAATCATAATATAAGGATACAAACATGTTTGTTGCATTCATGCTACTGCATTGGTTTTTGTTTGATTTCTTGTGGGGCAGTTGGTTTCAAAATCGCTTGAAGTTGAATTATTAGTTTATGAGCCATAGAAAATAAGGCAAACACTTTTTTTTCTTTCCCCTTCCCCTCTATTATTGGCCAATTTTCTGTTTCAGACCACGTCAGCCCACAGCCCCATTCATTATGCATACCACCCTTCATGGCCACCAACCCACCCTCCGGCCTTGTTCGACTGCAGAGGATGCCAAGAGAGAGGGAATGAGATTCTTCTAGATGAAACTAACTAGGTACATTATTCTTTCGAAGGCTTTGAAACTTAGCTTGAAATGTATTTAAACTGACATTAGGGCTATACCTTTCATTTCATTCAACTGCATCCAATCCATGTGCATCACAATTAATTATTGTGGCCAGCCTATGAACAATAAAATGACATTATGCGTTGGTGGGATTGTTTTCCTTCATCAATTCAAAGCACTCTTGGATCTTTTTTTTTTTTTTTTGGCGGAGACTCAAAGCACTATAGATCGATGACCTGACACTGGAATGGACAAAAATGAAAACTTCAATTGGGTTGGTGTAATAGTTGCTGAACATTAGTGGAGATGCCAAATAACACTAATCTGAATAATGGTGGGCATCATATATATAGATTAAAATGATAACAGATTTTTTTTTTTGCTCAAAGAAAATGATAATAAGAAGCTAGCCGCCTATAAATAGATGATTCTCCATTTTATTAAGATGGCGGTCCTTTGTTAAACACTGGCACGGAAATGTACTTTAATAATTTGGTTCGTCAACGAACTATGTATACCCTGTGTGGCATTCATGTGCAGTTTATTCTCTGAAATAGTGGTTAAACCTGCTATTTGATATGAGCACCTGAGAAGTCAGAGTTAACGATGACACCTCATTGGACCAACACGTACGCCCAATGTTGGTCCAAATAGATCTCAGATTCAGATTTGAAAACTACCGGAGGGCAGCTTGGTCCTTGATCGCTTTGGATTGAAAGGAAATGCAATAATTTTCTTGATACAAGGGTGTGCCCCCTGCTTTTATGGGCAGAGGGCAGGATCTACTTTCTACCTGCTCCAACATATTTCCTAACCACTAAAGTGGATGCTGAGTATATTCCCATTACAAAGGCTTGAAAGCTAAGGAAAGTAAAATGCAGAAAAGTAAGATACAAGTGCTGCCGAGCACCAGACTTATCTGTCATTCTCCCCCTAAGCCTTGTGCCAAGCACTAGAAGTGATCTGCTGTAGCACAATCATCTCCCTCATCTCTTGGAACTTAGACTTCCCCAGCGACTTGGTGAGAATATCAGCCAGTTGATCAGTAGTGGCAATGTGGCTGGCCTTGATGCTCCCGTCCTCCAAGTAATCTCTGATGAAGTGGTACTTGATGCGGATGTGCTTGCTTCTCTCATGGAAAACATGGTTCTTGGCCTGAGCTAGAGCATACTTGCTGTCCACCTTCAGCTCAACCACATCCACCTTCCTACCAAGGAGCTCTGCTAGCATCCTTGACAGCCATAGTGCCTGAGTTGCTACAGTGGTTGTGGCGATATACTCCGCTTCATAGCTTGAGAGGGCCACCACCTTCTGCTTGAGGCATTGCCAGCTAACAAAGCAATCATCGAGAAAGAACATCGTCCCGGTTGTGCTCTTGCTGGTATCCACATCGCCGGCGAGGTCACTGTCACAGTAGCTGACGAACCGCGCCATATCAGGGGCCCTTCCATAGTGGAGACCGTAGTCGAGGGTGCCCGCCATGTACCGTAGGATTCGCTTGACGGCCTGCAGATGCTCCATCGTTGGCCGCTCCATGAATCGGCTTATGTACCCGATGACGAACGTGATGTCTGGCCAGGTATGGACCAGGTAGCACAAGCTCCCAATCAGCCACCGGTAATGGGTTTGGCGAAGGGCGATCCCACTGACGTCCTGTCATGCCGCCGAGCTCAAGGATGCACTTGGCGTAGTGGGTTTGGCGAAGGGCGATCCCGTTGGCATCCTGGCGCACTTCGACACCAAGGTAGAAGCAGAGGAGGCCGAGGTCGCTCATGTCGAACGCCTTCTTCATCTGTGCCTTGAACACCTCCACCTTCTGCTCTTCAACGCCAGTGATGCTGAGGTCGTTATCGTAGACGCTGACTAGTAGAACGTTGTGTCCGCTGCCCCGTCGGTACACCGCTGCCTCATGCGTGCTCTGCTTGAAGCCCATCTTCTTGAGTGTGGCATCAAGCTTCGCGTTCCAGGCATGTGGTGCCTGGCACAGGCCATAGAGTGCCTTGCGTAAGCGGTACAACTTCCCCTCTTCTCCGGCCACGGGGTAGCCAGGTGGCTGGCGCACGTAGACCTCCTCCTTGAGGTCATCGTTGAGGAAGACGAACTTCACGTCCATGTGGTGGACTTGCCACCCCTCTTGAGCCGCCAGCGCGAGGAGGACATGGACTGACTCCATGGACGCCATGGGGGCGAAAGCGTCATTGTAGTCGATCCCCTCCTGCTGGACGAAGCCATG